GGGGGTCAGAGATATCCGGGCCGGGGGTCCGGGGGTCAAACCCCCACCCTGGCTCGACCCCTTGGGACCTGTGTGACAACATTGGCACTGACTAGGAAAGGCAGTGGCGGATCTGCTACTTTTTAGACTGGATACTCAATCAACATTTCTTTCAATTTCTTGAAGGCGAATGTGCAGTAATGGCTCCATAGCCCGTTTGCTTCCTTATTCAATAGCCTTTGTCGAGGTGTTGCTACCATACTAAAGATCCACACGGAGATAGTAATTGGCGAGTCTTTGGAAATTGGAATGATTGGAGTTGGCTTAAGTTATTTGATGTAGCTTGGTCTCTAATTGTTGTAATTTTGTTGTCTTTAGGTTGCATTTTATCTCCATGTCATACATGCCCTAGATACAATACTCTTTGCTCCGCCCACTGATACTTCTTCGGATTCAACTTGAATTGCACTCTCTCAACTTGCGTAGTACATTGTGCATATGCTCTTGATGTTCTTTTAATGTTCTCCTTAAAATCATAATATCATCTAAATAAACTACAATAACTGTCGAATCAGCTTTTGAACATTTCATTGCAGTGGTCTTCTTTTGTCCGAAAGGTGTTGCAATTATTTATAGCTTTCGTACCTAGCTTTGCATACAGTCTTTGATTGATTTTCCTTTATTCTTAAATAAAAAAGAAGCTTGATTTTCCCTAGCAATTTCTATAAGATGACACCCATACTTCCAATATATATTTGAGAAAGACTTACAACCCTGCAATCTGTCTAACAAGCCATCATTATAATGTAACAGTTGAACTCTCTTCACTGTAAAGACATGCAGGCCATGATAGTGAATGCGATGTTGAGTTCTCCTTCTTTCTAAACAACAAAAACAACCATTTTGTTCAAACATACATTTTATATCCTTAACACACCTCAAGTGAATAGCGGGTCTCGCGTAACGCTCCCGCGAGATCCCGCTTTCCGTTGTCGGGAAACGTGGTGGGACCGGTAGGCGGGCCCGACGAGCAATGCATGAGGCTCTCGGGGCGGCCCAGGCCAGGGGCGGGTCGGACGGTCCGATAGAGGTTTCGGGAATCCGCGCAAAACGTTTCCCGAAACTTTTATCGGGCCGTCCAGTCCAGAGCCGGTCGACAATCTTAACGGTTGTCGCCGGTCCGTTTTTTTAGCGTTGTATCCATGCGACGATTTTGATAGCTTTGTGTTTGCTGTGCCGGTTGGTGCGCTCGGTTCGGTGGTTTTGGCTGCTTCATGCTCGCTGTGCTGGTTGCTGAGCTCGGTTCGACGGGAGAGAGAGAGAGAGAGAGAGAGAGAGAGAGAGAGAGAGAGAGAGAGAGAGAGAGAGAGAGAGAGAGAGAGAGAGAGCGAAGGCAGATGCAGACGTTCGCCGAGGTGAGGAAGAGTGCGTCAGAGGAGAGGAGAGGAAGGAAAGGATCGTGGGGAGAATTGCGTGGACGTTGTGCGGAGGTTGCGCGGAGATAACGGACGAAGGTTGGTTGATGTTTTTTTATTTGTTTCGCCCATTTTTTTTATTTATTTATTGTTTTTTGTCGCGCTGTCGGGGTCACATCAGGAGGTCGCGGTCGGGAGAGCAAGGGGAGAGAGGTAGAGGTGGGGACGAGGAGATCGGGATGGGAGGTCGGGACCGGGAAGGGAGGGTGGCGCGGAGGAGGGAGGGGAAGTTGGCATGATGTCGGGCGAAGGAAGAGGGATCAGGGAGGAAGACATAGGATGATGTGGAGGTCGGGATGGGATGAGAATCGGGAGGTCAGATCGGGAGGTTGCGGTCGGGAGAGCAAGGGGAGAGAGGTAGAGGTGGGGACGAGGAGATCGGGATGGGAGGTCGGGACCACGAGACCGGGATGGGAGACGCGAATAGAGGAGGGAGAGGTCGGGATCAGGAAGGGATGGGGCGGTATCAAGATCGGGATGGGATGAGGAGGGCATCGGGAAGGGAAGGTGGAAGGGAGAAGGGAAGGGAAGTTGACATGATATTGGGGGAAGGAAGGAGCGGCGGAAAGAAGTAGAGACGCCAAGGAAAGGAAGGTGGCGGGGGGGATCAGGGAGGAAGACATGGGATGATGTGGAGGTCGGGATGGGATGGTGGCGGGGAGGAGGGAGGGGAGGTTGGCATGGTATCGGGGGAAGGAAGCGGGATCAGGGAGGAAGAAATAGGATGATGTGGAGGTCGGGATGGGATGGGAACCGGGAGGTCGGAATTGGGGACGGGTTGGGACGTGGTCGGGGAAGGAAGGCGAGAGAGCGAGACGTCGGGACGGGGAAGTCGGGATGGGAGGTCGGGACCAGGAAACCGGGATGGGAGACGCGAATAGAGGAGGGAGAGGTCGGGATCAGGGAGGGATGAGACGGTATCAAGATCGGGATGGGATGAGGAGGTCATCGGGAAGGGAGGGTGGCAGGGAGAAGGGAGGGGAAGTTGGCATGATGTCAGGGGAAGGAACGAGCGGCGGAGAGAAGTCGAGACGCTAAGGAAGGGAAGGTGGCGGGCGGGATCAGGGCGGAAGTCATGGGATGATGTGGAGGTCGGGATGGGATGGGAGTCCGGAGGTCGGGATTGGGGACGGGTTGGGACGCGGTCGGGGAAGCAAGGCAAGAGAGCGAGACATCGGGACGGGGAGGTCGCAATGGGAGGTCAGGACCGGGAGAGGGTCGGGATCAGGGAGGGAGAGCTGAGATAGGGAGAGATCGGGGGGAGAAGGAGAGGTTGCCACAGACACGGAGAGGTCAACACGAGGACATCGGGATCGGAGGTTGGGACCGAGATGTCGGGATGGGAGACGCGAAGAGAGGAGGGAGGAGTACAATGTCGAGGCGGGATGGCATGGGAGTGGGGAGGTCGGGATGGGAGACGGGTTGGGACGCGGTCGGGAAAGCAAGGGAAAGAGAGAGAGGTCGGAACGGGGAGGTTGGGACTGGGAGGTCGGGATTGGAAATGCGAAGAGACGAGGGAGAGGTCGGGATCGGGGAGAAAGAGTTGGGACGGTATCAAGATCGGGATGGGATGGGGAGGTCGGGAGGGGGGATAAGAATGGAGAAGGGGGAAGTCGTGGTCGAGGTCGAGATGGGGGATGGGAACGGAGAAAGGAAAGCTCGGGAGGTTGCGGTCAGGGCATCGAGGGGAGAGAGGGAGAGGTCGGGGGGAGAGTTGCGACGACGAAATGGGATGGCAGTCGCGAGGTTGGGATCAGAAACCGATCGGGATGACTAGGGGAGAGGAAGAAAGATCGAGGGGAGAGTTGCGACGATATGGAGAGAGTGAGAGGTCGGGAAGAGGAGATCAGGATTGCAAGTCGGGACCGGGACGTCGGGATAGGAAACACGAACAGAAGAGGGAGGGGTACGATGTCGAGGTCAGGATGGCACGGCAGCCGGGAGGTCGGGATGAGAGCAAAGACAAAGACGAACAGGTCGGGAGGGGGAGGTCGGGATGCTGACTTGATTTTTTTTTTTTTTTTTTTTTTTTTTTTTTTTTTTTTTTTTTTT